AGCTCAAGCTATGGCTCTGAACTGCTGTAGTCGTCGACACATCTGTGTCGATGAAATCACAGAGCTCGCAGGAGCGTGATAGATTATTTCATATGTACCAGGGCGACAATACGAAGGATGTCGGCGTTGTGCCTTAAGTTTGACAAACTCGAACCGAAGATGGCGTTCTACGCGCACATCCACCTCCTTGTGGCTTCATAGTAAGCTAGACAGCGAGAAAAGTTCTAGTGCCGCTTAACTCATCGCTTAAAGAGCTTTTATCATCTGCAGCGGTTTCGACAGGGGCGAGCACCACAGATATTGTCTGCATCGCGGGTAAAGAAGCACCTCTTTTTCTGTGCGCGAAGTCGAGCGCGGTCCCTTTCCCTTGGAATTTCTTGGGGTACCAAGAAGCGAGCCTGGAGAGCTATTTGTTGGTTAAGCTCAGCTTATGTAGTGGCTGGGGGCCCGACTTCGTTGACGCCTAACGATCGAGTGATCGCGTCTTTCGCTTTAGTAGCGGGATCCGCCGAGCGGATGCCGATTCCACCCAAGGGTCTAGAGGTCGGAAAACGGACACGGCGCCCGCAAGGTTCGAGTAGGGCTCATATTGCCCCGTTGGCGGACGAGTGTCTGACTCGTAGTCGACTTCCTTTACGTCCTTGAGGAGGTAATCTGCCGCCCGTGGCGGGCGCGGTGAGCGGTCCTCGGTTGCCGAGGCCTTAGGATGTGCTTCTCGTGAAGCCTTGGACGTACTGTCCGGAGTTGCACCGCGTGCAGGAGACGAAAAAGGGCTTTGCCCGCGGGCGCCCTCGGAACCAGCGAGGTTGGGAATTTTCCATGTCATAGACACAGGGCTCGTTGAGCAGAGAATGCGTAAGCACGGTCATAGGGACGTGAAGGTGTCTTAAACACGCGAGCTTCGTACTAGGTGCAGTTAGATGTGAATTATGGATACTTTCAATTTTGATGGGGAGAGTGTAACGGGGATACATGTACCCTGGTATAAAAGGGAGAGTCACAAAAGATGGTGTGACCGTACAAAGGTGTGGATTACTCAAGTCGGTGTTATTACAAAATGGTGTGGTTACACCGCAAGAAGATCCACTACGTGGCGGAACTGCCAGTAATTATGCATATTGATTTGGGTTTAGTATGTGTTTATGAATTCTAAGGTTTTAGATATGGGCGTCTTTGCCGCAAATAAAACAGATAAATACCGTCTCAATTTTTAACGTTAGAGTTTATTTGCCTTATTAAGGTTTTGGTAACTCTTGGTGGTAGCGGATTGCGATCCGCTAGACTCGTTCTGGTTCGAACGCAAGGTCGGCGACATTAGTAAGCTGTATTCAAGCAAAGAGCTACAGTAGCCCTGCTGAAGCGTCGGCCGCTCGAATAGGCGGCCCAAGAAAACTCAATTATTACGTCATCCAAGCGAATTGCTGCAAGACACTCGGGCAAGTCTAAGTAGAACGAGAGGGATCCGGACTCAGCGACGACTCACCACAAACAATTTATCCAATAACACTTCACCTTATTCGACCATGAAGTCTCTCACCGGCTCAGTGAAGCCCAGAATCTGAAACAAGGTGCTGTTTACTAGCATCACCACCACCATTTGGGCTTCCTGTCAAACGTTTGAGCCATCCGACGGCAAAGAACATTGGTCTCTCCTTGCTCGCGATAAAGATGATAAGCTGGACGCAACAAGTTCATGACATCCAAGTTTCGTTGTGGTCAGCGATCAGATATTTATCGCATCGGCAGGAGTTAGGACGTGGTCGCAGCGATCCCTACCAAAAATGCGTGGATATCCGTCAAGCAGTCAAGCAACGAACTTGAGCCTCATTGTGGATCAAATGATACGATCCAGAATATATGGATTCTTGCTTTGAAAACCGAAGCTTGTATTGTAAGATTTCACGACGTTGATGATGGTTTCTCGAATTTACGTTCGACCAGAAACGGTAACTTTGAAATTACTAAAGTCGCCGAGGAGGTTGCAAAGTACCTAGAGCTCATCGTCGCCAACAATTAAATTCAGACCCAAATTTCGAGCGGTCTATTGAGCGAGAGCTGTACCAACTTGCTACTTCTCATCACGGTGAGATCGTGCTGTGCCTTCGATGGCGACGATTTCTCAGATAACTTTTCTCTTGCTTCTTCCCAAGGCGAAGAACTGCGTAGGAGCTCGCCTGCCGACGATGTTTTAAGTTTATGTCCTGCACGACAAGGATAGTGGTATCGCAATCAAGACCTATGGCGAAACTTGCCATAGTTGCAGCATTGAATGTTCTGTTGTATGGGTTTCACAATCAGCCAGACACATTGCCAGAACTCTGGCTTTCGCTGAGCCATCATCTCAAAAAAGGAAGGTGAGTCAGCAGTGCTCCGTGGTGCCGCCACTCAACTTCTGCCGGTGCTCCTCCGTTCCCGTTCCAGCCTCACAGCAGAAGCAAACAGTCTGCGTGAAGCCTTTGTCACAAGACTGCGATCGTGAGTTACGACCGCTGGCGAGACAGGTCCAGTACGTTGTCGAAGACAGTCTCTTGATGCATTTCTGTCGGACCGACGTCCGGACGTGCGATTCGTGCAGTTCGTAGAAAAACACTTTGTTTGTCTGAATGATGCAGTTCTTCATCATAACGCAAAACATCACAAATCTTCTGTTTTCACGCCTCCATTCTATATGGTTTCGCTTCATGAAGTCTAATATAAAATTTGTGAGTAGGCAAAGATCCACCGCCTGGGCTGAGATTAGGAATAAATTAGGATCAAATCAATCTTAAACCAACACTAGGGTTGAGGTCAAGGTCGATCGTTGGTCCTATTGGGGCTAGGGAACAGACGATAAAGGGTGGGCCGATTATGCACGTCCAGATATGCCCCAATCAAACGCCAGATAAAAAACATTTGTATCCACCGAGTCTTTGAGGGAAGGATGATTCTTTCTCGGACGATGAACGCTAGGATAACCATAATTTAAGCCATCTATCGAGTGAAGATGAGCGCGTTGCGTTTGTGATATCTAAGCTGGAAAGCCACACGGAGAATGGGCACTTACGTACAATATAACGTGGAAGATACGCTTCCAGCATAGTTTGAAGCGACATATCTCGTAGGTTCACGGACCTCCTAGCGCGAAATGTAGAAGCCGTTCGAAGCACTTATCCATCCGTCAAGGAAAGCAAGAGCTTTTTGCTACTTTAAGGTCAGGAGTGGAGGATTAGCAAGCTATGCCCGAAAATTAAGAGTTCTTGCCGTGATGGCGGCGGAATTTTCAACAGAGGCGGTGATAATAACTTAATATTGTCTTATTGGTCGATATCAGAATTGGTATTACTAGCACCATGACTTCCGCATACGCCCTACCGCTTTTGAAAGACATCGGAGTCAATAAGGGGCTCGACATTTTGTTCCACGAGGGCTGTATAGGATACTTGAAGTGGAGGCTCGGTGAAATGCAAAGGCGATAAATTTGAGCAAAGCTAAGGAGAGATTAAGATTCTTGGCTACTGAGCACCTCCCCAATAGATGCAAATGTTTCAGCAGTGGGATATCAAAGCTTTTTCTCCTTGCGTATCCCGCTTGCTCACGGCTGAGACACATGCATGGTCAAACTTCCACGATAGGGTAAACGACAAATCCCTCATTGGGCAGCATTAAGTTCCTGTTGTCTGCTTTCCATCTATTATTAAATGTCTGGATATATTGCACTTTGTGTAGGTCGTGTTCAACTAAATCCAACCCTAGAAATAGCGGCCATTCGAGAGTGGTGGGAGCGACAGCCCAGGACTGTTGATTCTGGGTATCTATTACCAAGCTTAGTGCAGCCGTGAAAGGGTTGATTGATTAAGTTGTTTTATTGAACACGTACGACGCGACTTTCAAAAACAGTTGCGCTACGCATAGGCATTGAAAGTGTCAAATACAGATACGATATTTAAGCGCTTGCCACGGATTCAATAGTGCAAGTCTTGACGTGGATGCTGAACCATTTTTGAGATAAGATCTTTATAGTTATGACGCTACTTGAACACCATGAGGCATGAACTACCGGAGCTAAATGCTTTGTGATTCTCCCCTGGTGGAGTTTAGGCGAGTTATGAATCTGTTTTTCTCGAAAGCTAAAGTACTTTTGGCGCGGTCATATAGCTGCGAAAACTTCCGTGTAAGACATGATATTGCCTCTAAATGTTTAAAATGATATTACTTGACGCGCGAGCAAAGCTCAGAAGCCACAAGCAGCACTGAAATGGAGTCTCAGGGTAACAAAAAAATGCTATTTAATATTGTGGCCCTAGAAGTGTACCCCGGCTTAGACAGGAGGCAATGGCGTTATGTCGTGGTATCCAGAGTGTATCACAGGCGGAACGGTAAACTCAGCTATAAACTGTTGTCCATTATGGCAGGAGCCGATGAGGAGTGGAAAAAACTGGTCGTCGAAGTCTCTCGTACAACAGGCTGATTAATGGGCGACTGTCAGTCGCATATAGAAGGATCAGGCCCCGAAGATAGAAAGGGTTTTACGACTCAGTTCTAGACAAATCCACTGTGCAGATCAGTGAAGCTCGACATGTAAGCAACAAAACCTATTTACTAGCATATGAATTGACCGGAATTGTCATGAAGGTCGTAAGTCTCCTTTAACTACCATCAGCAGGAATATTTATAGTAGCTGAAGAACCTATTTGTAGATCACTTGCGCAAAGAATCGCATGATGATGAGACCATCGAAATGATACGGCTGGCTCGAAGGAGGACCCGAGCTTGTCATCCATCATGATTGGATTTGTAATTGGCACTCGTAGAGAACTCAGCTGCGTGGGCGAAAGAGCTATCCTAAAAACTATTCCTTAATGGGGAAAATCAAGACATGGTGACAATAGACACACCACATATGTCCTCCGTGATTTAGTGGTGCGATATAATATTGAGTTGGTTTCCAAAACCAAATATTTTGTCATATGGCACTATATCTTACCAAGGGGGCATTGTGACACCGATATCGCTTTCATTCAAACAAAGATCAAAACAGGTTTTATGTGAAAAAGCACCTTCTCCCCGATCGGCGCCGACTTTCTTCCTCAGAGCGGTAAATGGTAAGTACATGCTTACAATAAGGTAAATGCATTAACGATTTTTAGGTCAACGCCGATTTGTAGAAAGGATGTGCTGCAGAACTGCATGGTCGGTTGCACCTTTTTTTAAGACCTCAATCCAATTTAAAAATATTATCAACTACTCATCAGAGACAGAGAGACAGGGATAGAACTCTCGGTGTGGTGAGTATTTTAAGCAAATTGTTCCAAGAGTGGCTAGACAAGCCTTATGGAGAGTCTACCGCACAGGCAACGCTCAATTGTCGGACCGCGAAGATGTTTGGGCCACATCGTGGCGATACATAAGCCAATTTGAGATAAATTATTCAACACCCTGCGTCGTCTGTGACGCTTCAGCCTTTGCAGTAGACTGCGCTTTGCACTTACTCCAATCGGATGCCAAGCGACAATGACGCGCGATCACGTTAAGTTTTGCCTGCTTGAAGCGGCAGAAAAGTACTACTCTATTAATGATGAGGAGTTACATGAATCAAGCCATTTGAAATCTGTAACAATCAAACGCCGTTGCACATAGTGACATCCTCGCCTCACCTCTCGCATAGAAAGACAAGATGGTTATCCTTCTATGTCGAGTATGCCTTTGAGGTAAGGTAAATCAAGTTCGGTCAATGTGGTGATGGGTGCGCTTTTGACAGCTCCACCATGTCACGATGGCGATGCAGCCAACTGATTCGGCTCAGACGCAATTGTGTGCTGCGTTGCTGAGAGTTCTGATAGCAAGGAGTGAAACTCTTATTGAAGCGCGCAGTTGCACGACTGCACCAATATGCCATATTACAAGACTTGCTGTGACCGACACGAATTGAGTAGTGATACCTGATGATTTGGACCCCAAGTACACAGTACTGTATGAGAAACAGGATATTTTGTGTGTGATCACTTACTTATCATACTGCTTGGCAAACGCGATGTAACGGTGGCTCAACATATATCTGTGGGTAAGCACATATATTTGCATGTCAACGAGGTAAGCCCTCGCCGCAGTATGCGACGCCTATAGCCAGCCTGCCTTTTACGGCATAATAGTGGCACTCCATACTCATGAGCTTTAAGTTTCGGTTTCCAAAAGATACAATTAGTAACACCGATACTGTGATCTTTATGGATTTTCCGAACAATATGGCTTGTCTTCCTACTGTCGTCGGTTTGTGACCGGTAAGAGTTCAGTCAGGTGTTCCTCGGCAAAGCGTTTCGCCAAAATGAATTATTGTTGACTGCTCCGTGATACTTGTTCCAGGCTTCTAAGGTAAACTGAATATTTCGTGCATACAGCAAGACTGCCGTAGCTCTTTGCTTCAAGAAAGCTTTCTAAGATCGCCAACCTAACGTTCTATACTAGAACCAGTACGAGTGAAGTGGATCGCAATTCGCCATTTCTAAGAGTACCCAAAACTCTAACCAAGGAAAGTACACTCTTTTGCTCAAATTGATCTGTATTCATTTGTTTATTTGCGGCAAAGCCGCCAATATCTTAAGCAATAGGTTTCCTGATTAAATAGGAAAACCTTATTAATATGTATAGTTACTGGCGGTCCCGCCACGTCGTGGCTTCTTGTTACGGTGTAGCGACACCATGGTGTGATAACGCCGACTTGTGTAATCCCACCTTTGTACGGTCACACCATCTTGTGTGATCCACCCTTTTATATCAGGATACATGTAGCCCCGTTGCACTCTCCCCATCAAAATTGTGAGTCTTTCACGCTACCACGAGCTCTGAGATTTCATCGACACAGATGTGTCGACGACTACAGCAGTTCAGAGCCATAGCTTGAGCTTAGCCCAAGGCTCTTTCATGATCCCTCTGATCATAAGCCTCCACGACGTCTGGGAAGTCTTGCCGAAGTGGCACCTCTAATTCCCACAAGTTCTGTTGTTTGGGTGTCCCCACCACATTACAAGATATTAAGTTTGATCCTGTCGACGCCATCGGCCCACAAGACATTCCACGTGATAGTGGACGACACCGTTTCCATCACGAGTCGGCGGCGCACGATGACAACTTGGCCGACGC